TAAATAATAAAGTAAATGGTAACCGTAAATAGTTTTTTGAGGATTGTGTCTAATTTGATAATACAAGTATAAAAGGTTCCCTGATGGTGCTATATATCATCATCATCATCAGTAATCTGTCAAGACGACAGGTCCACAGTCTCTTCCAAAACAATTCCTCCACTTAATGCGATCTAGAGCTTTCTCCTTCAAATGACAGTATCCTCTTCTGTCCCCAAGGTCATCCAGCATCTTCTTACGTCTTCTTCCTCGTCTTCTTGTCACTTCTATCCGCCCATCTATCTTTCCTTCGATAGCTTCTTTTAGAAGGCAGTTTCTGCGTAAAACATGACCAATCCAATTAGCCTTCCGTTTTCTTATTTCATGTAGGATATTCCTCTGCTCACTGACTCTAATTAACACTTCTTCATTTCTCACATAATCGGTCCAACTGATCTTCTCCATTCTTCTCCAACACCACATTTCGAAACTTTCCAGATGTTTCTGATCTACTGCCCTAAGTGTCCATGTTTCAGCCCCATACAGAGCTATGCTCCAAATGTAGCATTTCACTAGTTTCTTCCTCAAATTTAAGTCCAATTTGCTGGTAAAAAGATTCTTCTTCTTGCTAAATGCAGCTTTTGCCATGGCAATCCTGGATTTAATTTCACAAGTACACCTTCCATCATCTGTTAACAAGCTACCCAAATATTTAAAACATTTCACATTCTCCAGGTGCTATATATATAGCAATTATAAATATTTTTTTTTGTATTGTNAATTTGATAATACAAGTATAAAAGGTTCCCTGATGGTGCTATATATATAGCAATTATAAATATTTTTTTTTTTGTATTCAGGTATATCTTGATAGCACAAACTTCAAAATCCTTGTCCTTACAATACTTTGCAAGGTCAGTGCTTACATACCTTAGCTTTTCATGTACTAATATGCAAACCCCTCCTTTTTCATATGATGTTCTACAGTAGCTAACCCCTAAACTATAACTACCTAGAAAAATTTGTTGTAGTTCTAGGTAGTTCGTGTGATGTTCAGAGAGACACAATACATGTGGGAAAGTCGGATATAATTGACGTAACAGTTAATTTACTTTCCCTCTCAATCCTCTTATACTTTTGTGATAAACAGTTAACGGTACTGATCCTTTTAATTGATGAAGTGATTTATTTTGAAGTTTGGTCTTACCACTACTAGTGAATAAGTTTCTTTCTCTACAACTGTTTGGGTGAATTTCCTAAGTTGTTGCTCGCACTTACACCACCAATACTTCTTTCACTCTGGGTAACAAGTTTGTGATTTTCATTTACCATAAAAAATCTTGTTTCCTGAAAATTGGAAGTTTTTTGATTTAGCTGATTTGCATGTTGTTACATCATCCTGAGTCATCGTTTATTCTTGTAGGCGTACCCACATGGTCCACTTCCTGTGAATCAACATTTCCCTTTGAAGATTTCCCTGCACAACCCACATCAGTCTCTCATAGAAAATCAACACTTGCTGTACTGTTCCCATTACATTACATTGCATTGCATTCCATGGATCCAAAGTTAGTCAAAATGACTGTAGGATGTGGAATATGTCATATAAATACAAAATATATGCCATGTTCTTGGCAGTCAATAGTCTTCCTATCACTCAGGCATTCCATTGATATAACCAGTGGAACTTCATACACATAGTCTCCAACAAAGGAGAATGGGCGTGACTGACGTAGTGAGGGGCGACGTAGCGATGTGGTATCCTGAACAATTTTAATATTTTTAACGTTTGACAATGTATATGATAGATACATATTTTAGTTATTTTAATGTGTGAACATGGCATGCAATGAACTGGTTTGACGTGGATAAGTAAGCACCTGATGATGGCATTATTATGTCGAAACATGTAGTGCGAGGGAGAGAAGGAGATAAATGAGTGTATGCACTGCAAGACGGATTAAATAAATCATGGACTTAAATCAGTGCAACAGGACGCTAAAATATAACATTAGTCAGAACTAACATCAGTGTTTTGACAATCAATATTCCTACTAATCCTCTGGCACTCCCGATTATTATTTGCCATAACAAATTAAGCTTCATTCATACAACATTTATTAGGTTGAGCTAGTTGAAGAATATTTTCCTTTACACTTTTCCACGGCAACACTATAGGTAAGGGTATCTACATCGTAGGAACAAGTCTTTAATTTCCTTCACTAAATTATTCACTATCCAGTTTTTCCCTTTCTTGTTTAAATGTAGTCCATGGTTAGTGTGATGTATTCTTTCAGTGAAAGATCTAAAAGAACCTTACATGGTTAAAAAATAAACCTAAGGCTATACAGCCTCTTATTGAAAAGTTTTACTTTGGTGTTTACACATGAGAAAGAAGGCAGGTCATATGTATGAGGAGCTCCTAGTAAAATAACATTAGTGTTAACTGTCCTTTGTGCAAAAGCTTTTAAATAGTGAAATCCTTTTATTGATTCTTTCTTGCTGATATCTTTAGTTCCACCATAGAATATAATCAGGTCATTTTTTGTTAGGTTATCAAGTAGGAGATGTAATGAAGATGTAATTCGTTCAATATCAATGTTCAGTTTTGTGATGCCAGTCACACTAAGAGCATCATCCAGACCACAACTAACCTTGTCTGATAAACCTCTAACATGGCTATCCCAAATTATAAGAATTTTGTGTCTTCTATGGGCTGCTGTCACAGTCTCTTTTAAAGTATTCAGTTCCACTTTATTTTGTGATGGTATCTTTAAATTTACAGACTTACTTGCATTCTCTCTTGATAGACTCCCATTATTTATGCTCGGTATAGTATGTGTTAACTATTTCTGCCTTTACATTTGTTTGATGAATTTTAATCTCGAGTTTTGGAGGTTATGTTGCACTCTAGTTTTTCTATTTGATTCTTCTTGCGATTCTTTAATGACTAAACGGTTCTGTTCAGTATGCATCCTATTTTATTTTTGGCTATTATTTTTAACTTTTGGTTTATTTTCATTTTCATTTTCATTTTCACGTACCCACTTCATTCTATTTCCACAATCAGACGTATCACTCTCTGTTGCTAGAGCCTCATAACGATTTATCGTCATTATATGTTCCTTAGAATTTATTAATTTCATTTTACCTTCAGTTCTTCTATTAGGGCCTTTTAATATCGTCTCTTTCCAACTATTATCCACTACCAATTCGGCTTCGACCCCTTGGGTCCACATAGCAACGGAATCATCTTGAACATGCTCTTTTTTTAACATTTGCACTATTAACTGGACTGAACTTAACTCATCAAGTGCTTGTTGGAGCTGTGCCTCAAGCTCCACACAATTTGCACAGTTTTGTATGTCAGTTAAACTTATCTTTTTTTAAAAACCTATCACATCACGTTTCGATGCATGTACCTCATCTGCCATGCATCATCATCTTCATTTAGAACACGAGCATTTCGCTCAAAATCCTTCCCCATTCACCCACTGGTTATCCTGCCAATGCTATCTTATAGTCTCGATTGTGAAAGTGTTGCTGAAACATCCCACAAAAAGAAACACATGAAGGTGTATGTGTACAAACGGAAGTGTCTCTATCATCGCCCATTGTTTTTATCTAAAGTGCAGATTGTTGTATTAACTGAATCAGACTGTCTATATTTGTAATTTAAATAACATAGCAATATAATAAGACTCACCTCCATAATGTGTAAATAAGACTTCAACAAAAGATCAATTAATTTATCCTAAATGATAATGTTGTTCATCACTGTTGTTAGTATTCATTCCGTTCATTATTTTAATGTATCGTGTCACTGCTTTAATGAAAAGCTTACTGCACTGGAAATCAAAACAAAATAATGTGATTCTGAAATTCCCACAAATTATGAAATCATAGGTCTAAAACAGAAGTACCAACTCCACGAGTTTAAAAAACTGAAGAGTATTCACATCGATAGTGACACCAGTTAGTTTTTATAGGTCGTGTTCAAATAGTTGAAACGCAGAGATAAAACACTGTAGTAAACTAGCAGAAGATAAATTCGAGTCAACATCTTTAATCGATGGGGAATTATAATGGAGGGAATAGGCATCACACATAAAACGACAATCATAGAAATTTCAAACCGTTAAGACATTCCAATTGTGTATTAATATACTGCACATTAGTTTGAAGCATTATCATATTAAGAATTATGCCAGAGGTCAGACAATTTAGACATTCCAGCTAGGATATAATTTGGAATAGAGACGTTTAGAATTGCGGTGGCAGTGAGTGGAGTTCTGCCCTAGCCTAATCATTTTCCCATTTACAGTGTGTATAAACTGTTACACTACTCCCGTTGTCGGGATCGTCGGGATTGGTTTAAAAATACAATATGGTTTCAATTTTTAGTGTGGGAAGAAGGCTACTAACTATGCACAGCACACTTAACATAAAATCCCATTTCACATAAGATGAGAGGGATGAGAGGTTCTGTATTTTACCCGTTCTCTTTACGTAAATCCACAGTGAGAAATTCATTTTTGTTGATCAACAATATAAACTATTACGAACAAACGAAATAAACTTCAACATGTAGGAATCAAATATGTAATTGATCTACATAAGATCGACAGATACGATTGTATTGAACAGAATAGCCAACAATTGAACTTTACATACTATCTAGAATGTAATGTACATGTTCCAAACGGTGTTTCTGTCAACGAGGTTAGGGCACGAGGAACGGGCATAATGTTGTTCAATGTTATAATAAGGAGCCAGAATATTATATATTTTTCGGTAAGGTAAAACCTGAATATGTTTAAATCATAATATGTTCCTGGATAATCACCAAGATGACGTCTTATGAAAATACTTCATACCCATGCTTTTGTAGAAATTGGACATGATTGTATTAAGCAGCCACCAATTTAATTGAACGCAGTCTTTTCTTTAATAAAAGTGTTGATTAGTACTGTTTGCGGGCAGTTTCATTTTATTAATTTTGTTAAGCTGCCGGGTTGAAAATGATTCAGTTTTTAGAAAATGTTCGAGCGGGTATAGTTGAACCACATGCTCTGATTAGGGCAGAATCGACAAAGAGGTCATATAACCTTCAGTTGTGCAAACACAGAGACATTGAAAGCGTTCATACAGCTGGAGTCAATGCATTAGATGTGGATACAATGGAAGGAAAGTACCTGCTGTCTGGGTCAGCAGATGGAAGTCTTCACATCCATGACCTACAGAACTTTACAGGCTCTCCTCATTTCACTTCCAAACTTATCTGCAAGGTGGACAGAAACTTGCGAACAGCTCACCGGTATAGTGTAGAATGTGTGCAGTGGTATCCATTTGATAGTGGACTTTTCATAACTAGTGGAATGGACAAGCAGCTAAAAATTTGGGACACAAACTGCATGAAACCTGCTGACACCTTCAGTTTTGAGGGCCGAGTGTTTCAGCACCACATGTCACGTATAGCTACCAGGAACTGTCTTGTTGCTGTTGCCAGTTCAGTGAATCACATTCTCCTTGTTGATCTGAAGTCTGGGTCATGTACTCATGAACTACGTGGTCACTCAAGTTCAACTCTAACCTGCAGATGGTCACCAAGAGAGGAATACCTGCTTGCAACAGGTAGTTGCGACAATAAGGTGCTCTTATGGGATGTTCGTGCTGCGAAGTGTTGTCTCAAATCTTTGGACCAGCATAATGGTAAAGGAAGGTCAGTCAGTGAAGCCACAAATACTGCCCATGATGGTTATGTGAATGGTTTGTGCTTCACCCATGATGGATTGTTTCTTCTTTCATATGGGACAGATCACAGGTTGAGGTTGTGGAGCACATACAGTGGACATAATGAAATGGTTAATTATGGGAAGATACCGAATGACACAAAAAAGTGCATGCAGTTTGACATCACTGTCAGCTCTGACCCAAAATTGGTTTATGTGCCATCAGAAGGTAACATCTTTATGTATGAGATTCAGTCGGGTGTTAAAGTGAACACACTTCTAGGACATTACAATTGCGTTAACAGTTGTATCTATCATCCGTTTTACCATGAGCTGTACAGTGCTGGTAATGACAGAAACGTCCTCATATGGACTGCAGATCACTGTCAGGGAGCAGTGTATGAAGAACATTTAAAGTCACAGAACCAAAAGAAAGAACCATTTGAAAGGAGAACGCTGCTTGTTAGAAGAAATGTGATGGCTGATACATGGAGTAGTGATGAAGAGGGCTGATCCACTGTGTTAAAAGTTAAATTGTATAAATGGCAATAAATACTTCAGCCTTGTTCAGGTATGTCCTGCTTCAGACTGTAGCCCCCTGGTTTGTCCTTAAGGTAGATGACACATGAATTCTTCATGCCCTTATAAAGCCCTTTATATTTCTTCAGCAGGAAGCTGCTCTTAAGACTACTAATTGATTGCTTTTTCTGATTGTGTGCATCTTATTCTTTCTTCCTCTGGTCCATTTACTCTGTGCTTCCTGTGGTGTGAAGGTTGTAGTACAGACAGCAACTTCCTCATTTAGGATAACCACCTTTCATCTCAAACTTCAGTACGGAGCCAGTAACAATGACAGCATAAAGCGACACTAATCGAGTAATAGTCACTGGATTGTATCCAGTCTGCACAAGTACTTTTAATGGCTGCTGTATAATTAATGTGTAAGAAGAGTGTTAAAATAACTGACAGTTTAACACAGATGTGTTCTCTATTGCTTGTTTCCATTTCTGTTTAGTCTGCATACAATTAAAATCCACAGATGGCAAACCATAATTTACATCAGTTATATGTGCAGAAACATGCATCACTAGGCAAACCAGAACGAAGTTCATATCCAAATACACTGTATCACAGGAACTCAGTGTACATTTGTTGCAACTAAGACACAGTTGTTCATTAGGGATTTGGTTTGAAAAGAGTTGGCAGCAGTAACCCATGTGATCCATTTACTGCATTCCTTGACAGCAAATCTGTTCTCATATTACAGAGGGTTCACCCTTCATAAGGCAACAGGTGGAAATTATATTTTAGCCTCCTTACCAGTTAAGCTTTGAAATGCCTAAAAAGGGAAAGCATAATTGGAATTGGAGGACATTTCCAGAAGCAAGAGGGCTATGTGCTAAGAAACCCAGACAATAGGCCACAAGTGGCCGCAGTACAAGGGACTTAGTCCCACCCCACTAGCAATAAATAATAGCCACTTGGTCAGATTTAGGACAAGATGCAGGTACAGAAGGGCACAGTGGCATTCTAAACTGAACATCACAGAAAGAAATACGCAATTTAAATGTTTTATTGTGTTGGAATGTATCTTACTTATGTGTAAGGGCCAGCAAAGAAAATATCTGTAACCAAGTACCAGTGCATCTACCTTGCCTCTCAGCTCACCTGTCATCACTGTCCTCCGCAATCAGCCTTAAGTTACATCGTCCACCTTTGGTTGTCTTTTATCCTGTAAATGCACTGACATAGAGACAGTGAACAAGCCCAGCAGAAGTTATAACCTGACTACCTACAACTACTGTAGCGATCTGCAGTGAGTTACTCAATACAAAATGGAAATTTATATGACAACATAAAAAAACACTTCAATTAATCTTATACATGCGTCCAGGAATGATGGGGAGTGTTTGAGCCGGAGATGCCCGGAGGACGCGTAGAGGGGAATATGGCAGAACAAAATGAAAGTAATGTTAGGGTTTAACTGGTGTGAAGGAAATTGTGGTCCACACCACAACTCATGTGCGATATGTACGGAACTGTTTTATTAAACATCTTACAACATATTCCAAGTAAAGTGATTGATTTGAAGATTAACAGGTATGATTCATTCTCAGACTTCTGTATTTATTTATAATTTTTTATGTGCCTAACCCTGTTATATGAAATGGTCCAGTGATTGAGTGAATAACACATTGGAAAGGATATGGAAGGCTGTACTCATGACTTGGCCACCTCTGTAGTCTAGTGGTCAGCATTCTTCGATTCCTGCCACTACCAAATTTTTTCGGAGAAGTGGNTGCTCAGACCGCCTCTGTGGTCTAGTGGTCAGCGTTCCTGGCTACAGATCCAGAGGCCCGGGTTCGATTCCCGGCGTTACCAGATTTTTTTCGGAGAAGTAGTGGGTCTAGAACTNTTTTTTCGGAGAAGTGGTGGGTCTGGAACAGGGTCCATTCAGCCTTGTGATGATAATTGAGGTGCTATTTCAAGGAAATAGCGGCTCTAGTTTAGAAAACCGAAAATAACGGCCGCGGGAATCATTGCGCTGACCACGCGACACCTTCTATCCGCAAAAAGTTGGCACTAATCTTCGCCGACAAGCGGCAGTCGCTCGGTCGGTATAGTTCACTTGTGGACTGAAATCACGGAGTTTGTTTCTTTTTGTACTCATGACTTAATTTGAGGTACTATCCCACCATTTGCCTGTAGGGAGTGAGGAAGATCATGAAAAGCCTTACGTCAGGATATTTGCTGGCAGCTGAAATTTGAACCCAGAATCTTCTGAATATGAAGCAGGCGTGCTACCCGCTCAACTGACTGCAGTTCCCCACAACACCGAAGAGACATTTGAAACATACTGGAAAGATGCACACAATTTTGAGATATACATTATTTAGCTGTACAGATGGACAGAGCATGTAGCATACATGGGAGAGAAGGGGAATGCATACAGGGTTTGGGTGGGAGGATAATATTAAAAGTCCTTACAGAAATAGGACTGGGCTGGATTCATCTGGCTCAGGATAGGGACCAGTGGTGGCCTCTTGTGGACAAGGTAATGAATCTTTCAGTCCCATAAAATGTTGGGGAAATTCTTGAGGAGCTGACTGACTGGTAACTTCTCGAGGACTTGGCTCCGTGGAGTTATCTTCACGGTTTGCATCCTGTTGTGTATCATGATTGATGGCATTTGGCCATCAACACAGTAACTAAAAATAAACCAATCAAACTGTTCACATTGGTTTTATTTAATGTTTGCTACATGTTTTGGTCTGCAAATGTGACCATCTTCAAGCAATCTCATTAAATGTGTCCATATTAGTACTACTCATCACAGTCATATAATACATGCAACGAGCATGAAGCTGCACAAATTTTTCTACTTTAAAAATTTTCCAGATCGTAACCAGAAACAGATACAACATAAACGCCCACATACAAGGAATACACAGTACACTGTAAGGGGGAAAAAAAAATGAAATCATAACATACCCAAAAAGATAAGGGAGAACTAAATACTAATAACACTATCGTGAATAGCTTCTATAACTACAGTATAACAGCAAACCCTTCAGATGAAGGACACAAAAACACAGAATTTTACATTCAGCGACTAATAATTTTGAATCTTAATTTCTGGAAATTTTTCAAAGTAGAAAAATTCTTGGAACTTCATGACAGTTGCACATATTGTGTGATAAGTAGTATTACTAGGGATCAATATTAGGATAGTTCAACAACTGGAGATGTATTTACTGAGACTGCCTGAAAATTGCCCCATATGTGGACCGAACCAAGTAGTAACCATTAAAGAAAATCAACGTGAGCACTTTGATTGGTTTATTTTTATTTACTGTTGTGTTGACAACCAAACAGCATCAATCCATAGTCAGTCTCTGGAAAAAAACATCTCTGACTTGTGTGTCTGTATGTTATGCAATGTTTTGCAGAAAAGCAACTATCATAGCAAGTGGATGGTCCATGACAGTAAAGGATAAAGTTGTCAGATATGTGGGACAGTAAAATCTGAACACTGTATAACCAGTAACTGAGCATGGAGTTGGAGAATCAAAGCCAACCAAGAACTAAGGGAATTATGTAAAACCTCTGATCTGGTACCAGATAAAAGTAGAAAGTTGTAGGGGTATGTGATTAAAATGGATCAAACAAGGGTGGCTAAGACAGAAGATGGTAGAAGAGAAGTGGAAGATACAGGATGACATGGCTGTAAGATGCAGAGAATACTTTGAGAGAGCTGAAAGTTATGAGATGAAACAACAGTTAAATAATGAAGAAAGGGCATTAACTGTAAAGGAGGCCAAGGTTCTTCTTAAGAGGACTGTACAGCCAAGGGGTAAGTAGGTGTAAAGCAGCCCTGTCCAATGCGGCGCCCATGGTATATTTTTCTGGCGCCCTCCGTAACCACATATAATTGAGCCGATTTTTAATATTAATTCAAATTGTAAGACAAGAGACATTTTTGAATGTCTTGAGTACTGTTAAATATTTTTGAAAAATGTTATTATTATTATTGTTTATTATTATTATTACTAGTAGTAGTAGTGTGGCAGTGCCCGCACCTCCATAGGCATCACTGAATTGTGCCCGAGTGCATAAGAACGTTGGACAGCATCAGTGTAAACTTTGGTATACCTGTATATGGGGCCATAACCAGTTCCATAGGGACCTGGCAATCTGGATCCCAGTACACAACACAACCTTAACTGGTGCAAAAATGAATCAGACCTATCATATCTTTTGATCATAATAATGCTGGTAACATAATCAACTTTTCCATGTTATATATGCAGACAGTTTGTATAATTTTTAAAATAACAGGTTAATTTCATATGTTATGTATTCACAATACTTAAAATGCTATATGTACAAATATACATCTTATTAAAGTTAGTACAAAATAGTTCTAAGGCCATGGATTGACCCCCTCCATATCTACCCTACCTCAAGCTGTTATGCTTCCCTGCATTTTGCTGAGGTGGACAAAATAATGGGAACACTAAGAACTAAGGAATATAATTTGTGTGGCTACACTGAAAGAACTTAAGTTGGCATTACTGAACATTCTTCCATTTGTTTACACTCTGTAGTGCTCGTGTAAGTGCAGGTCAATTGTACTGAGCGACAGTCTATGTGAAAGAATCGGAAAATGGGAGACTTGTCTGTTTTGAAACAGGGCAGACTGTTCGTGCATGTCTAGCTGGAGTATCTACGATAAAACTGCCACATCAGGGGCGTCAAAAGCAAGACTTTCTAAGGTTATGTCTGCATATAATGAATCATGTGAAGACAACATCAGCAAAGAGGAACACTGGATGAAAATCAATACTAACATAAAGAGATTGTCAGTACATTGAGGAGGATTGTTTTGAAAATCACAGAACTACTGCAGCACAGATGACAGCAGAACTGAATATTCATCCTGAAGACCCTGCTTCCACAAATATGTCCAACGTGAGCTTCACAAATCCAACATACAGGTAGGGTGCAACTGCTAAACCTCTGATTACTGAAAGTAATGCTCAAGTGTGTAAATGGTGTCAAGACAACTGGAAACGAGAGTGTGACAGGGTCAGATGAGTTGTCCGTGTTCTCTACATCAGGAAGAGTTTACATTTGGAGAACACCCAAAGAAGCCTACAATCTGTAATACCTGGTTCCAAGAGTTAAACATGGGAGGGTGGTTCTGTGATGGTTTGGGCAGCAATATCGTGGTACAATATTCCGTTGGTCCCATTATTGCCCTTTATGGCTGAATTACTGCAAGGGAGTATGTGGATAGGTTGGGTAGTCAGGCAGATCCCATGATCCAGACATTATTTCCAAACAACAAAGCAATTTTCAAAGATGACAATGCCCCCACTCACACAGCTGGAACTGTTCAGCCATGGTTTGAAGAGCATGAAGCTGAAGTACAACATCTTCCCTTGCCAGCATAATCATCAGACTTGAACATCACTGATCCACTCTGGTCAGTTTTGGAGACTAGAGGAATAGATTCGCACCTCCAACACCTCTACAGCAACTTGAAGATATTCTTCAAGAAGAATGGTATAAAATTCCAATACAGACTGACTAAAACTTGTATGAGTCCATTCCAAGAACTGTGGCTGTATTGAAGGTAGTCCAAATATGTTGGTGATAACCTTCACTGGCAACAAACGTTTTGGGCTCGCTGACATATACAGAGGGAAGCACAGCAGGATAAGACTGTAGACAGATATGAGGAAGCCTTAGGGATCTTTGTCACTACCATTCATGTGACTTTTTCCTTGGCTTCAGCATAATGTTAGTATGTGAAACAATGTCATATAACTTTATAGTAAGTAGGAATACTGGACAGATGTTTTAATTTTACATTAATTTCTGCTTGTTTCAGAAATGAATTTTGTTCATTCTGATCAAACTGACTTGGTGACACATAATGATCAGTATCTTGTCACCAAATTACCATTTCTTAAATATATCCCATAAGGCTGGGGTTCTCAAACTGTGTTACCCCCCCACACACCAAAAACAAAATACTGTAGGTGTAAGAATCTATGTGCGAATCAATGATTCAATTTTCAAAGCCATGTAATACTCCATTAACTTAAAAAGTTTCTCTGATAGTTTTGTGTGTGACTACAAATATGAAGTAATCTGGTCTCCTTCTCTGTCAGTCCCACTGAGTAAGTTGACTCAAGCAGTAACACAGCTGACTTCCATTCAGGAGGCACATGGTTCAAATCTTGGCTGGGACACAAACAATCCACACCAAAGTTTTTCATCCTTCCTTCAGTCCTTCCAGACACAGGCCAAATCGGTATCTTAAAATGATACTATAACGTCCATTTACTATCTAGAGTTGATGAAGTTAAATCCATAAAAAATACTGCAGCACGTTTGAATACAAAAAGAGTATAAGACAGAAATATCTGTTAATGGAAGTATCTGATAATTAGGAATCCATCAGCAGTTTAAGAAACAGGACATTACCTGTTGAAACAGTCTGTGTAGCCTTATCTACACGGCCTTCCATGGCCCGTGTCTGGCAGGAATGAAGCTGGTTAACTTCTTCCACATCATCTAGTTCTCTGCTCTTATGACATGCTGCAGAACCATTTGGCACAATCTGTGATATCCTCTTCCTCCAGTCCTCTGATATGTTTGGCAATGAAATTTCATTAAACGTTTGAAACCTCTGTGATACTGCCTTGTCCTTTGTCATTACTTTCACTTCTGAGCAATTCTCATTGTCGGCTCTCAAACCTGCAACTTTCCTGAGTGTCCTATCAAGCACCTTACCTCTAAGGACACCCCACACTTCCTCTTCTAGCACTGTTAGTGCTTGAGATGCAATGCGCTCCGATATGTCTGACTGAATGCGGTATTTCTGTAGAGTCTCATATAAAGACAACTGCAGAGTTCGATGCATGTCTGGGTGAAACATGGACAGGCGTTGGTGAGTTGAATGTGTAATGTTCACATTATATTGATCTGTGGAAACAGTTGCAGCTTTCCTTATGCATGCTTGACTTTCTTCTAAGGTCCTGCTGTGAGCGTGGGGCACATGTTGATATGATGTTTCTGTATAATAAAATATACGTCCATTTTCATCTGTGGTTTCTACAGCCTCTGCTAATGTACTGTGTTCTGACTGCTGAGTAACAGTGCCTTCTCCTGTTCTCTTCAAGTCATGAATTTTGGAAAATGTTGCAGTACTGGTAACTGAGGCACCAGCTCTAGTAGTATCAGTAACTGACACACCAACTCCAGAAGACATCACAGCTGCAGTGTTAGTGACTGATGCACCAACGTTAGAAAACATCACAGCTGTAGTATCAGTAACTGAGGCACCAGCTTTAGTAGTATCAGTAACTGACACACCAACTCCAGAAGACAT